GATTACTATTATAAGCGTATAACGTTGTTTTGATTGATCTCTAGTTGATCAAATATTCATCATTATTTCGATTGATCAGCTTCGAGATGAGTTCTCATTTGAGGTAGCGCAGTAATTGGTCACCTAGATTACATCGACTGAACCTCATAAATCGTGCATCTCTGGGTGATTCAAATCAATTGCTCAGTTACTCGTGTCAGTTAGTTGAACATGTGCTACTTTTTATCCTGTTAATTGATGTTCTCTTCTGATTTTCTGAATGTATCAATTCAGTTATTTCATTACCTTTGAGAAGCAATCAGTGTATGGGATAATTTTTCATTTTATTGAAATTATAGTAGATTTTCGTTGTATAAAACATTATTTTGTTGAGTATATTGACAAAGTGTGTTCTACTCTGTTTTTTACGGTATTCTTACAATTATGAATCAAAAAGTTTCAGTTTTATGATATCTTTTTCATATTATTCAATAGTAAATAACATTGCCGTTAACGTAGAAACTGTGGAAAATTTTCTCGATCAAAAGAAGATAATCCCAAGGAACGATGATAGGTGATGTTGTAGTGAAGTGAGTTTGTGAAGTGCTAAAACTTTGGCTTAAGATACAATAGATAGGCGGATTGTAAGGCTGAGAGTGTCTCCAATGAATATTTGTTGATTGATGGACGAGTCTAATCTTCTTTCGAGTACTTTTATACGTTGTCTAATCTCTCGATTCAAAGTGCTTTCGTTATGCGATATTCACTGTTGAGTAGCAGTATCCGTCTTTCAGATAGTGCACTTGTTTGACAAATGTGAACTGGCGACAAACGTTGCGCCTCTAATTGTTGCCGATCTTATCAATTCCTTGGATGCGTTCAATTCAGAGATACTTTTTACCGTATCCACTGGAACGATAGAACATGCTTTCTGAGTAATTGAGTGTTGTAGCGCATCCTTGTTTTGAGTTATATCACTAAGCTGTTACTGTGTTCATTATAGATTTTGCCATAGATTTATAGACTATCATTATAGATTTCGCTGTATTAGATCTGAATTATTTTTATACATATCATATTAGATCTATCACGAAGAAATTAGATCTTTTGATGTGTTTATTTTGATCATTTGGTATACATCATCTCTAAACTGTACTAATTGTAAGAGAAAAATAGTATTCATATTAGCATTCGAATGTGATTATCGTAATAAATCTGTTCCTTCGTGAAAAGTGAATCAGTGGGAAATTGTAATATGTGGTGGTGGTGGTGAACCATTGCCCTTGTTCGTAAACTCATAAAATACGGAATTATACGATTATGACTAAGATTGCAATTTTGATAGTGAATGCAATCGTTTTTGTTGTAATAAGGAGAATATTACACGATGATCTGATGGTTTAACGAGCGATTCACAATAAATTTTGTTGTTATATTATGTTGGTGGGTGATTACGCTCATGCTGACATCAGAATGTTTCATTTGCATATGCGAAAGAAAGTTTTGTGAATGGTGATTCTCGACGCACGATTCAATGGATAGATTCCGATTGTTCGATGTAACGCACGACGAATGCATTTATAATATATCACAATTAATTTTATGGCATTGTTGATGGTTCGCTCGCCCGAACGTTCTTTCAGTTCGCCATTACTACGCCTTTCTATCGTACATCAATTCCTTATTACTCATTCGTTTCTCAGTTGTTGTAGATTAGATGCATGAGAGCGTTGAATCCGACGATTACATTAATCTATGTCTTACCTTTTGATATAGATGCTTGTATATATTCATTCCTTTAATGCATTTCAATGATTTGCTAGGATTGAAGATCAGAAGCTGAGATTTCAGTAATTCAATGATCTTTGATATCTTTTCGAATTTGAAAATTGAAAAGGTTGTATTGAGGGAGTTCACACATATTTATTCCTATTAACCATCGAACAATACCGTTTTGTCCTCACACCAAAGATATTGTTCATTATGTGTTCAGTTCTACTTTGTGTTCAGAATAAGGCAGAAAGGTGATGCCAATTCATGGAATTTGATTGAGAAATTGGGAAGTTTCATTTGAAAAATTG